TCAGCCTGATTAAAAGGATATTTTTTTCCTACTGATATTCTCCAACTCTGCTTTGAAGTATTCATTTTTATCAGAGCAGATCTTGGACTTTTAGGATTCAGAGCCAGGACTAGAGTGAGGAAAGTAAGGTATTTGTTTCTGGTGCAAAATTTCAGGAGATTCTAAAATCTCAGTAAGCAAGATAAATAATATTTTACTACAACATTTAAAAAAATCAAAGTTAATGCAAAAAATTCCTGATGAGCAAGCCATCAACATTTTAAATATAAACAGGAGCCAACAGGGCTGGGCCTTGTCATAGGCAAAGGGGAGAATATGTGCCCTATATTTGTTTTCATGTGTTTATTTTATTTTTGTTTTATTTTACTTTTTTGAGTTGGAGTCTCATTCTGTTGCCCAGGTTGGAGTACAGTGGCACGCTCATGGCCACTGCAGTCTCGACCTGCTAGGTTCAGGCGATCCTTCCACCTCAACCTTCCAAATAGCTAGAACCACAGGTGCATGCCACCACACTTAGCTAATTTTTTGATTTATTGTAGAGACAAGGATTCCCCAAGTTGCCCAGGCTGGTCTTGAACCCCTGGGTTCAGGCAGTCCTCTTGTCTCAGCCTTCCAAAGTGCTGAGATTATAGGCTTGAGCTATTGTGCCAGGCTTCACTGACTTTTCCCCCCAAGACTAAGGGAGTTGAAAAAATATTAGAAAATTAGAAAATAGGTGTTGAAGGAGTTCAGGAAATGCCACCAAAATGCCGTTTTGGGCCAGGCGTGGTGGTTCACACCTGTAATCCCAGCATTTTGGGAGGCCAAGCTGGAAGGGTTGCTTGTGGCCAGGAAATCAAGACCAGCCTGGGCAACACAGCAAGGGCCCATGTGATACCAGGTGGGATGCGGCGCAAAACTCATGGATTCCTTGGCTCATTCCTAAAATGAATTTTAGGGCGGCCAGCAAAATTTTATTAGCGAGAAGAAGAGAAGGAAAAAGGAAGATTCGTTGTAGGAAAGACCTGTCCTGGGCAAGTTTCTCAAAAAGAAAAACCGGGCTCAGTGGCTCAGCCTGTAATCCCGCGCCTTTGGGAGGCTGAGGTGAGTGGATTGCCTGAGCCCACGGGTTCGAGACCCACCTGGGCAGCAAGACCTCATCTCTACAATAAATCAAAAAATCAGCCGGGCGTGGTAGCGTGCGCCTGTAATTCTGGCTACTCGGAAGGCTGAGGTGGAAGGATCGCCAGAGTCCAGCAGGTCGAGGCTGCGGTGGCCAAGAGCGGCCACTGCACTCCAGTCTGGACGACAGAGTTAGACTCCAACTCAAAAAAAAAAAGAAAAGAAAAACTGAGGTTTTAGTCTCAACTATGAGCTAGAAATAGCTACCTGGTTATCGATATGCTAATGAGGGTGGAGCATGGGTCACAGCTGCCCTCTTCGCCTCTGATGGGAAGGGGTGGTCTTAAGATCATTTCTATGGTTTTGAGCAGTTAAGGGGTATGAGGTTGACCCTTCACCTTCCTTCAACAGGGAAACTGGAGGAGTTTCAGTAAATATGAGCTGAAAGGTTGGGCTGTCCTATTCTTACATCTGATGGGATTTTCTTTTGATTGGTTGAGGGGGTGGCATAGGCTGCCAGCTTGACCTGCAGTAAAGTGTAATTTTACAAATGTCTGAATGCTTCCTAAAACCTATACCTATGGGAAATCTTTCTATGTCTAACCCGTGCTACCTTCGTCACGTCTATCTCTTTAAAAAAAATGCCACATTGGCTGATTATTTTGAACTGAGGACAGTTGGGGGACAGCAGACATAGACAGAGGCTGTCTCTGAGCTCCCCTTATCTATCTAAAGACAGATCCTCTAAACTGTGTGAATCCCTGAAAATCTAATCAACCAGGGAAGATTAACTTTTATTACAGGAGACTGGAGGTGACGTCACACCCATATAGACTTTGTCACAGGCTGTCACCTATTCTCAGGATCCATTCATTGTTCCTAAATCCATTACTCTTCTCTAGGATGCCTGCATACCTCTTCCTGTCTCCCCTATGATCTTATTGGGTTTTTGGGTTTCACTTTTCTTTCACACGATCTCCTGTGCATGTAATAAATTTGTCTATTTTTTTCTCCTGTTAAACTTTCTGCAATCAGCCTCATAGCCCCTAAAATGCTATAATAAAAAATAAATTGATGGGATTTCACGTATAAAGAGTAAAAATAGGCTAGGCTTGGTGGCTCAGCCTGTAATCCCAGCACTTTGGGAGGCTGAGGCCAGTGGATTGCCTGAGCCTGCCGGTTCGAGACCAGTCCGGGAAACTGGGTGAGACCTACAGTAAATAAAAAATTAGCTGGGTATGATAGTGCGTGCCTGTAGTTCCAGCTACTTGGAAGGTTGAAATGGAAGGATCGCCGGAGCCCAGAATCGACGTTGGGGTAGCCGCAAGTGTGCCACTGCACTCCAGCCTGAGTGACGGAGTGAGACTCTGACTCAAAAAAACAAAAACAAAAGAGTAAAAATAAAAATAAATAGAGGGTTTGCAGGTTATTACAACTGTGGGACAGACAATACCTTGAAGCAAAAAAGGATCAAGTTAGGAAGTAAGAACTAGAGATAATATAACGGGGAGGCATTTAGAAAAGAAAAAAAGAAAGTCAAACTGAAGACTTTTATTTAAGAACAGAAAGCGTAGTTCGATTAAGAAAGTGCTAACAGAAGTCATTAGGAAGCACAACTTTAGACTGATTGGCATCTTTGGGTAAAAGACAAAGTCAGGGGATAAAGGGGGTGGTCTTGGGGCGGAGAAAAATGAACTCACATTGCAAGTTGTTTTGTATGATTAAAATAAAATGATCAAAGTATGATTTCACAGATCACACAGTTATTGCTATACAAAGAGATTTATTCTTTCTTCTCACAATGTTTAAAAGAGGGAAGAATAACAAGAACAAATCTCACAGGATAGACAGATACAGGGAGTGAGTTCCAATTTCACTTATAGTCCAATTATTAAAGTCTAGTTGCTCACTAAGGGCGGAAGCAGACCTCTGTAGCTCCAAGGCCAATGGAAGTTTGAGGAGTACCCTTCCGTGAGGTGTTTTCAGAAGAGGTAGCAGACCCACACTGCAGAGATCTGTGACTACAAAGGTCCCTGGATGCTGAAGAGTGGTGTGGGGTGTGCAGGCGTGGCTTCAGTCATTGCCTCAAAGGCTGGCAGCGAGCAGACTAGACTAGCCCAGTCTAGTCGCTGAGGCTTATAACTCACTTTTGTGGTCTGACAAGGTAACGAGGGGAGAAGGGATTACATTCCATGTGTTTTCTTTTGTTTTCTGAGTTGGAGTCTCACTCTGTCGCGCAGACTGGAGCATGCTCACAGCCACCGCAGCCTCGACCTGCCGGGCTCAGGCACGTGCCACCAAACCCGGCTAATTTTTTAATCTATTGTAGAGATGAAGTCTGACCAAGTTGCCCAGGCTGGTCTCGAATCCCTGAGTTTAGGAAATCCTCTCCCCTCCGCCTCCCAAAGTGCTGGGATTACAAGAAAGCCACCACACCCAGCCTATGCTCCATGTTTTTATCCCAGCAAAACATACATCACTCACGTAGCAGACTATGTAACTGTTTGGAATCATTTCACAGCTACACAACAATGTGATGTAGGAAGTAAGCAGTTTCGATCTCAGCTCAGATTTTGCCTAAGGTCAGCCAGACCTTGCTTGCGTCAAAAATCAGGAACTAAAGGACAGAGAAAAATGAACTAATTTTGATGTGAATCACCAAGAAGCTAAGTAAAGCTTGACAATCTTTAAGGCAGGTAAAGCTGAACTCAATGACTAAGTTGTGTGTCTGCATGTTCTTCTTTTCACTCGTTTGTAATTTACATCAAGAACCACTGCAGAACTTTTATTTTAGTTTTTATTTATGTATTTATTTATTTATTTTTGAGTTGGAATCTCACTCTGTTGCCCAGACTGGAGTGCAGTGGCATGCTCCCGGCCACCGCAGCCTCGACCTGCTGGGCTCCGGCGATCCTTCTGCCTCAGCCTTCCAATTGGCTGGAACTACAGGTGTGTGCTACCACGCCAGGCTAATTTTTCTTTTTTTTTTTTTTTTTGAGTTGGAATCTCACTCTGTCACCCAGACTGGAGTGCAGTGGCCGCTCCCGGCCACCGCAGCCTCGACCTGCTGGGCTCCGGCAATCCTTCCACCTCAGCCTTCCAAGTAGCTGGAATTACAGGCATGTGCTACCACGCCCGGCTGATTTTTTGATTCATTATAGAGATGAGGTCTCGCCAAGTTGACCAGGTGGGTCTCGAACCCGCGGGCTCAGGCAATCCACTCACCTCAGCCTCCCAAAGTGCTGAGATTACAGGCTGAGTCACCGAGCCCAGCTTCTTCTTTTTTTTTTTTTTTTTTTTTATTGTAGAGACAAGGTCTCGCCTAGTTGCCCAGGAGGGTCTCGAACCTGTAGGCTCAGTCAATCCACTTGCCTCAGCCTCCCAAAGTGCTGGGATTACAGGCTGAGGCAACGAGCCCGGCCTACTGCAGAGCTTTTAAAGATCAAATATCCAGGTTCTGATTCAGCTGACCTAGGACAGGGCCTCAGAATTTGCATTTTTAAAAAGCATCCAGCCAGGCCCAGTGGCTCACACCTGTAATCCCAGCACTTTGGGAGGCTGAGGGAGAGGATTGCCTGACTCCAGGGGCTCGAGATCAGCCTGGGCAACTTAGCAAGACCTCATCTCTACAATAACTCAAAAAATTAGCCAGGCATGGTGGTGCAAGCCTGTAGTTCCAGCTACTTGGAAAACTGAGGAGGAAGGATAGCCTGAGCCCAGCAGGTCGAGGCTGTGGTAACTGGGAGCATGCCACCATCCTCCAGCCTGGGTGACAGAGTGAGACTCCAACTCAAAAAAAAAAAAAAAAATCCACAAATGTTTACATATGCAGCCAAGTTTGCATAAAAGTTATGGTTATGTACTGAAATTTCATTCCCTAAGGTAAGCAATTAAACACATTTTTGGTGTGATGCATTTTATTTATTTATTTATTTTACCAAACACAATATTTAGGTTTGACAATTTGGTCAGTGTCCAATTTAACTCTCCAAAATATGAACAAGTTGATGACATTCCATAATGCTTTTCAAGAAGTTGAGAGGTCTGGAAATAGAGAAGACCAAAGTAAATCCATTTTCTGAAATTATGAAGACCAATACTTTTAGATTCTTGAGATAGAATGGATTTTAGATTTCTAAGAAACAAGAACTTGACTGTTTTTATTGCATATGAAAACAAGATACATGCAGAAAATATAAAATCACTTATTTTTTTTGGTATCAAAAAATAACTATGTTATTTTTTTCCAAAAAGAGACTCTTAAAGAATGGCATTTACCCAATGGAACTGTTTATTTTCCTCAACGAGGATAACAAAAAAAATTATGGCCCAGGACTGGGGCAGGCTTAAAACTAAAACTAAAACTGGATGAACATTAGAATGCGGGGAGGTAAATACCAGGGGGTTGACCAGACTGCCAAATGGGGAAAAAAGCTCACAGCAGGGAGGTAGCTCACAGTGACTGAGAGGTAAGAAACAGAATAGGCTGCAGTGTTCTAGGAAATCACCTGCACAGAGATAGGTGCACAGCTCAGAGGGACGGGGTCCCACGAGCCTAGCCAAATACAGCCAGGGGGACCCAGGGACGGCTAATGGTCAGAAACCTGGAAGCAGGTAGATGTGTCGCCTCTGAAATTGGCATCTTGTAGAAGGACCCAGGTCTGGAAAGAGCCAGGAAGAGCCCCAGATGGAGAGGAGCATTGTATTATATGGGTCACCAAGGCAAGGCTCAAACTTGGGGAAACAAGTTAGAGGTCCAATTGTCAGGTACAGATTACAGATTTCAAAAAGGATTTGCACTTTTTTTTTTGAGTCAGAATCTCACTGTTGCCCAGGCTGGAGTGCAGTGGCACGCTCACAGCCACCGCAGCCTCCACCTGCTGGGCTCAGGTGATCCTTCTGCCTCAGCCTTCCAAGTAGCTGGAACTACAGGCATGCGCCACCATGCCTGGCTAACTTTCTTCATTTACTGTAGAGATGAGGTCTCACCAAGTTGCCCAGGCGGGTCTTGAACCCCTGGGCTTAGGCAATCCTCTTGCCTCTGCCTCCCAAAGTACTAGGATTACAGGCATGAGCCACCATGCCTGGCTAGGATTTGCACTTTAAATACATCAAATACATATTATAGAAAGATGTGCCTTTTAATATCTAGCTATAAAAATGTATGCTGTCATGTAACTGGGGCCAGCCTGCCCTTTACAGCTGCATGAGATTGACTCATTCCTCAATTTGCTTAAAGTTCAGTGTCTTCCTCAATTTTTCTGGTAAAGTCCCAAGGGCAAATTCCGAGTCCATTTTAGTTCTCATTTCCTGGCTCTACAGAATTAATTGTTTGGGGATCATTTTGCCAATCCATCCATGCTGCCTCTGCTACTATGTAGACACAGACTTGGAACCAGTCCCTTTTCTTGACTCTTGCCACCCATCTATCACCCCTGAGTCCCACAAAGCTATTGTGTAGATAGCAGACTTTATTGAAGATTTGGGAAGTCCAGGGGGATACACTGCAGCAGGATATGAAACTTATGGTAGAAATATGTTATTTCTGTTTTTAAAAGTTCTTAACTACTCTGACATGTTCCTCAATTCCCTCCCTTCCCTTCTTCCTCTCTAGCAACCAAATTCCTATTCATTTCCCAAGCCTTCGGGGCTTGAAGTACTTTCTACCACAAGAGGCTTATCCTGAAGCAGCTCTTGGACACAGAAATGAGGGGTCCCAGCTGTGGGCACTGCTTTAGAGGAGACTGCTCTGGTCATCCTCCAGCTGTGCCCATCCTTACATATGGAGGCATCCAGTTAGCCAAGAATTCCTGGAGTTTGCCAGCCCACTTTGCCTTCCCCCCCACCTTCTAGGCCAGACTGTAATATTTTAGGTTTTGTGGCCATATGGTCTCTATTGTAACTACTTAATCTTGCTGTTGTAGCATGAAAGCGGCTCTAAACTGTATAAAAATAAATGGGCATGACTATCTTCCAATAAAACTTTATTTATAAGAACAGGCCACGGGCCAGATTTGACCCACAGACTATAGTTCCTAACCTCTGTTCTAGACTACCTTCCAGGTACCTGGGACCCCCTCAGAATTCCCTGACAGCATGGCTGCAGCCTACTTCTGGGGCCTGCTTTGCCCCGTTTCCTGATCCTCAGTGCCTGTGTGTGTACTCCTAGGGCAAGTGGCCGTTGTGGGCAGAAGTGTGTTCAGAGCTTGGCTGTGAAGGCTGGGGTGTCCTCACATGTGCGAGGAAGGAAGCAAGGGGTGTGGAGGTTCACGGGCCAGGGGCTCTCCCCAGAAGACCAGGTTCTCCTCAGAACTGATGGAGTCTACATTCAAACCTGGCCTTCCTGGTTGTTTAAAAAAAATATTATCAAGTTACGGGAATGTAACCCACATTATTTCACAGTTTGTTGACTTGATTTATAGCTTTAAATTTGTAGACATAAGCCGGGCTCGGTGGCTCAGCCTGTAATCTCGCGCCTTGGGAGGCTGAGGTGAGTGAATTGCCTGAGCCCGCAGGTTCGAGACCCACCTGGGCAACTTGGTGAGACCTCATCTCTACAATAAATCAAAAAATCAGCCGGGTGTGGTAGCGCACGCCTGTAGTTCCAGTTACTTGGAAGGCTGAGGTGGAAGGATCGCCGGAGCCCAGCAGGTCGAGGCTGCGGTGGCCGGGAGCTGTCACTGCACTCCAGTCTGGGCAACAGAGTGAGACTCCAACTCAAAAAAAAAAAAAATTGTAGACATATAGTATGCAAGCCTCCTTTATAATTCTACCCAGACTCTCCCTTCCATAAATGTCAAGGGGGTCTCCTAAGCATCTTTAAAGATGTTTCCATCTTTAAAAGGAATCCTAATTTTTTCTTAAAAAAAAAAACCACACAATTTCTTCACTCTGTTACAATAATGTTTTCCTTTTCAGCTCTAAATACCATTAGGGTAGCTAATATGATTTGATGTGAAATCCCAGGTAAGAGCTTCTTACATCCCTCCAAGTTCAGGATCACTTCTAGTGACAACCAGGGAGGGCCAAATCAGCTGGTGGGGGTCTTGGGGTTCACCTGTAGGGAGAGATGCTTGCCAAGGTTAGGAACTAGGCAGGGTCTGGCAGACTCTAAGTGTCGCAAGCATCATTTGGTTTAGAAACCAAATTTCCCGATGGCTAGGACTGCTAAGACTGGAACTATCAGGGTCTGTGCTCGCCCTGAGAATAAACACCATGAGAGAAAGACACAATGGGGATAATGAGCTTCATGTCTGCTCCGGAGCTGTTAAACTAGAAGGCTGGAAAAGGGACACTCCAGCTGGTCGGGAGGGCTTTTCCCTCGTGTTTCTCTTGGCCATCTGTTCTGCACCGCGCCATCAGCTTCCCACTGGAAAGGTCAGAATGGGTGTGTGGGTAAAGCCTAATGTTGGCTCTACATGCCGCATTAGATGCAGCTGCTCTTGGCTTGGTCACGCCTGGGTTTGCACCCAGGACCCTCAAAAGCTCTGCGCATTATGGTAATTAGCCATCTGCTGCAGCCTTTCCAGGACCAGCTGATCACAAAAGGAAGCCAGGAAGCTCTGTGACAACAGCAGAAGTGGAGGTGTGAGGGGGCGCCTCAGGCCGCTGGCCTCCTCCTCCCAGTCCCCTCTTGGACACCGTGGAGCCTTGAAGGGAACTGGCCCAGATCGTGGCACGACCTCTCATCTCTCAGCACCCCCTGGGAAAATGAGCACAGGATCTCTCTACTGATGAGCCAGGCTGTCATCCCAGCAGAGGGAGGAGCTGGACTGGGCACCCGGGTCTGCTGAGACAATGACAGCACTTTCTGTTTCACTGAGGAGACAGAAACCATTTGTTTGAGAAGTGATTTTTTTCTTTGGGGTACTGAGGGACTAGAGACAGCATGACTGGCAATTTTCAGATTATCAGTTATTACTGGAACTCTAAAATCATACTTACATATCAAGATGTATTAGTAGTCGTTGATTAGCTACTGAAATCCTAAAATTATTTATGGCATGCATGTATAGCAATAAATATCAAGATCTAGAAATACCCATTGGCAGAAATGTCATCGTGTGTAAACAATCTTCATATTTATTTATTTATGTTTTAATTTTTTAATTTTTAATTTTAAAGATGTGGAGTACAATTCAGGGTTAGTTATACAAATGTTTATTATGTAGCTACGCTTGTTGATGAGGTGTGTCCCCTATTTATTTATTTGAGTCAGAGTCTCACTCTGTTGCCCAGGCTGGAGTGCAGTGGCACACTCACAGCCACCGCAACCTCGACCTGCTGGGCTCAGATGATCCTTCAGCCTCAGCCTTCCAAGTAGCTGGAACTACAGGCGTGGGCCAACACGCCCAGCTAATTTTTCTTGATTTATTGTAGAGACAAGGTCTCACCAAGTTGTCTAGGCTGGTCTCGAACCCCTGGGCTCGGACAATCCTCTTACCTCGGCCTTCCAAAACGCTGGGATTATAGGCGCGAGCCATCACACCTGGCCTACAACCTGTATTTTATATATGTGGACATGTACACATATAAGCTATAAAATAAATCCAGGATAGATAAGCATATATTTATACATATCTAGGCAGTATCCATATTTTAAGGGTTTTTTGAACTTTGTGTGTGTGTGTGTGTGTGTGTGTGTGTGTATACATACATATATATGGATATATGAGTATAGATCTACATCTTCATGGGGAGTAGAACTTGGGAATTAGTTCAAGTCCCCATTCTGCCACCCAACACATACATGATTGTACTCATGGAATATTGTACTCATTGTAGCAGAAAAAGTAGAATAAAAACAAACCTCATGTCCTCTGTGGCATTAGCTGAACTCCACTGAGTTTTGTTTGAGCTCCTGGGGAGTACTAGAAATATGAGTTAGCATAGTAGGAGCATGCAGGAGGTAACAAGAGGCTTGGGACCTGTATTAGTAGAAGGGCAGGCATACAGTGGCGCAGTGTGGTCACACTCACACTTGTAAGGGCAAGGCCAAGTATAAGGCTTATGCAGGTGTGCTGGGGGTGTGGATCAACTGGCTGGGAAGGTCAGATAGGGGAAGGAGTCACAGGGGAGTTCCCCTAAATCTCATCTCTCTCTCTTTTTTTTTTTTTTTTTTTGAGTAGGAGTCTCATTCTGTTGTCCAGGCTGGAGTGCAGTGGCATGCTCACAGCCACCACAGCCTCAACCTGTTGGGCTCAGGCGATCCTTCTTCCTCAGTCTTCCAAGTAGCTGGAACCACAGGCATGTGCCACCATGCCCAGCTAATTTTTCTTGATTTATTGTAGAGACAAGGTCTTGCCAAGTTGCCCAAGCTGGTCTCAAACCCGTGGGCTCAGGCAATCCTCTTGCCTCAGTCTCCCAAAGTGCTGGGATTACAGGCGCAAGCCACTGCACCCAGCTTGAACCTGATCTTGAAGGGTGCACAAATGATCACAGGGGTGAGGAAAAGCATTTCAAGAGTTAGAACTAGCATTCAAAGGCAAGAAAATACAAGCTGTGTCCCAGGGATGGTGATTCTCTGGGGTGGCCAGAGCTTAGGGTGGTGGAGATGAGACCCGGCAGGTGGGTGGGAGTCTGATGGAAAAGGGCCTGGCGAGAACTAATGATTGAGGGCTTTCTCCTGTGTCCAGGGGGGAGCCGCCAAAGGATTTTAAGCAGGGGAGTTACAAAATCATACTTAGGTTTGAGAGAGGTCAAGCTGACAGATGAGAGGGAAGAGACTGGAAGCAGATGGTTGTAAGGAGGATGTCGCGGGAGGCCAGGCAGATGACAGTGGCAGAGGCAGTGGAGATGGGGAAGAGGGGGTGGATTCAGGAGCCTGGTGGGGCTATTTGTGCTCTTAACAAACACAAAATGGAGAAGGAAGGGTAAAGTGATTGGGAGTTCTGTTTTGGACATATTGCATTGAGGAGGCTGCAGGACATCAAAGAAGATACAACGAGAAAGGAGTGAAAGGGATTTACTCTCCCCCCTCTCTCTCCCTCTCTCTCCCTCTCTCCCTCTCTCTCTTTCTCTTCTGTCTCTCTCTCTCTCTGTCTCTTTCTCACACACATACACAGCCCTCCTCCTCCACCCTCCAGCCCCCAGGAAGTTTGAGGGACCCATACCTGGAAAAAGCCAACAAACCCTCCTGTGACATGGCCTCTAGTCCCCCTCGGGCCTCTCTCCAGTTCGCCCCTGCAGCTCGCCTGCTCGAGCCATGCCGGCCTCCTTTCTGCCTCTTCAACATGCCAAGCACGCTCCAGCCTCAGGGTTTTGGCTCTAGCTGTTCTCTCCGCCTGGAATATTCTTCCCCCAGATTTCCATTTCCCTAACCTCATTTCATTCAAGCCGTTGCTTTAGTCTCACTGCCTGCCCACATCACACTCCCCAACCCCCTCATTCTTCTCTATCTTCTTATTTTATGTGTGTATCGTATGGTTGTTTGCCCTGCAAGAAAGTACCCCCCACAGGGGCAGGGATCCTTGTCTGTTTTGTTCACTGATATGTCACAAACACTTAGAACAGTACTTGGCACATAGTCAGTGTTCCACAAATATTTGTTGAGTGAATGAATGAATGAATCTTAAAAGTGAATTCACTTAAAATGAAGACCCAAATTTGATGAAGAATTTATCTTTAAAGAAAAACGAGGCCAGGCTCGGTGGCTCAGCCTGTAATCCCAGCACTTTGGGAGGCCGTAGGCAAGTAGATTGCTTGAGCCCGCAGGTTCGAGACCAGCCTGGGCAACTTGGCGAGACCTCATCTCTACAAAATAAAAAGAAAAAAGAAAATTAAAATTAAAAGCATATTTTGTAAAATATCATTTATAATTACTACTGTCATTCTTTTTTTTTTGAGTTGGTCTCACTCTGTCACCCATGCTGGGGGGCAGTGGCACGCTCCTAGCCACCACAGCCTTGACCTGCTGGGCTCAGGCGATCCTTCCGCCTTAGCCTTCCAAGTAGCTGGAACTACAGGCACACGCCACAATGCTAATTTTTTTATTTATTGTACAGATGAGGTCTTGCCAAGTTGCCCGGGCTGTTCTCAAACCCATGGGCTCAAGCAATCCTCTCGCCTTGGCCTCCCAGAGTGCTTAGATTAGAGGCATGAACCACCGTGTCCGGCCACTACTGTCATTCTTAGAGCAAAGAATGAACCAAGTGTATCTTATTTAGGAGAGTTTGTGATCTTTCTGATAAAATTGTTTGATGGTAGCCAGGCTAGGTGACTCAGCCTGTAATCCCGCACCTTTGGGAGGCTGAGGTGAGTGGATTGCCTGAGCCCATGGGTTCAAGACCTGCCTGGGCAGACGAGACCTCATCTCTACAATAAATTTTTAAAAATCAGCCGGGCGTGGTAGCACATGCCTGTAAATTCTGGCTACTGGGAAGGCTGAGACGGAAGGATCGCCGGAGCCCAGCAGGTCGAGGCTGCGGTGGCCGGGAGCGGCCACTGCACTCCAGTCTGGGCAACAGAGTGAGACTCCAACTCAAAAAAAAAAAAAAAAAAAAAATTGTTTGATGATATGATACAATAGGCTAATTCTTATTTGACTTTTGCAATATGGCCATACAAAAGGATTATTTTTTGTAAAAATATTTGAGACTTTATCAGATTTTCTAAGTACTTCTCTTTCTCTCTCTTAATATGCAAAAATAAATACACAGGCCAGGATTTTGGGAAGCCAAACAGGAAGATCTCTTCATCTTAGGAGTTTGAGACCAGCCTGGGCAACATAGCAAGAACTCCTCATGTCTACAAAAAATTTTAAAAGTTAGCTGGGCATGGTGGTATGTGCCTGTAGTCCCAGCTACTCAAGAGGCTGAGATGGGAGAATCACTTGAGCACAGGAATTTGAGGCTGCCGTGAGCTATGATTGTGCCACTGCTCTCCAGCCAGGTGACAGAGTGAGACTCTGTCTCTAAAAAATGCATACATACATACATACATAGAGTTGCAATGGAGATATCATTTACTTACAGTAAATTGCTTAGATAGTAAGTGTACCATTTAATCTGTTTTCAGAAATTCATATGACAGGTTATTTCTATCATTCCAGAAACCTGCTTTTTGCACCTTCCCAGTCAGCACCAAGCAGTCACTGATCTAACGTCTAACCTACTAAAGTTTCATTTTTTTCTATTCTAAAATTGCAAATAAATGGATTCATGCAATATATGGTTTTGTGTGTGTGTGTAAGGTTTCTTGCACTGAGCATAATGTAATTAAGATATATCCATGTTGTGCATTTTGAAGCTCATTTCTTTTCATTCCTTAGTGGTATTCCAAGGATTTATCTTATATTCTGAAAGGCTAATTTATTGCTATCATTGTGAATTTCATCAATCACTGCTTGCTCTAACAGTGACTTGCATGTGTTTCCAGTATTTCTTTTTCACTGTATTTTATTTGATGAAGTTTTGTATCTTGGCCGGGCATGGTGGCTCACACTTATAATCCCAGCACTTTGGGAGACCGAGGTGAAAGGATTGCCTGAGCCCACAGGTTTGAGACCAGCCTGGGCAACTTGGAGAGACCTCATCTCTACAGTCAAGAAAAATTAGTTGGGCATGGTGGCACATGCCTGTAGTTCCAGCTACTTGGAAGGCTGAGGCGGAAGGATCACCTGAGCCCAGCAGGTTGAGGCTGCGGTGGCCATGAGCATGCTAAGGCACTCCGGCCTGGGTGACAGAGTGAGACTCCGACTCAAAAAAAAAAAAAAAAGAAGTTTAGTATCTTCTATAAGATCTGCCATTTCACTTTGTGATTACCATATTTATAATGTACTATCAAATAAATATTTAACAATGTGTGAGAAACTGACCAAAAAGGAGTGTGTGGTTAGATATTACCAGTTCAACAGGCAGGATATTTGGAGTGAGAACTAATCTTATAAGTAGTCACTGTATTTGTGAATCTTTTCAGGATTTGATCACTTTTGCTTCACAAAGCAATCATGTAAATTTAGGTGCCAGGATAGCAAACACTGATACCGAGGAACCTCTTACCTTATATGAGTACAAGTGTGTATATGTGTGTTTTTACACAACACATATAAATCCTGGGAACTGCAGAATCATTTGTGTGTGGACACACTCACTAGCTTGTGATTATCCATTTGGGACTCTAAACTTTCAGAAAGCAAGAGTTATTTGTTTGATTCACAGACGTTTATTTGATTCAACTATATGAAACTGCCAATATTTGAGCATTTCCAAAATAGAAAACCCGCAATGTCATGTTATTCAACTTAGTGGTTTTTATTCTGCAAGTTTGCTACTCATTAGTGAGTAATAAAATCAATTTAATATATTAGGATCAGCATTTTAAAAAAATGAAATAGACTAGAATAGAAAACATCAGAGGACATTTCATGTCATAAGAATAGATATTATTGTGTGAAATTTTATTTTCAATAATGTGAACATGCATCTTATCAATTAGGATGTTGGTGTGGATGTTTTAAGAGACTGAATAGTGGAGACTTAGACATGATGGGTTTATTTCTCTTTTACGTGAAGCTGAGCTTATAGGTTGTCCATAGCTGTAGACAGCTCTGTTCTGTCTGCTCCGTGCAACTACGCAGGCACCCAGGTCCCTACTACCTGGTTGCTCTTCTCTCTCCTGGGTGCTGTCTTTATCCACTTAGTTGAAGCTGGCTCATGGTCACATGTTCATTCCACTCTGTGTGAAGAAATAAAAAGCAAGATGAGGGCAAACAGCTTCCTCTGAAATACATGACAGGGCAAATGTCACTTCTGCTCAAAATCAGTGACTTTACCTTAGCTGTACAGCTACCATAAGATACCAGGGATGTTAGGAAACACAGTCTTTAGCTGGTCAATATGTGAGCAGAGACAAATCTAGATAATCCTGGAGGCTGACATTGTCCCAGTTTTGGTAACTAGGAGACAATAGGTTCAACTGGTCTGAGCGAACTCAGTGGAAGAACAGACGGTGCTCCAGAACTCCTTTCCCATAAAGCTATCGCTTTATCAGGGAACTTCTATTGTTACACACTCACGTAACTGTTCCTGTTTATCCCTATAGGTAGATAAAGCATTTGGTCTGGGGGGGCTGGGGGAGGGAAAAGATTCTCTGCTGGAAACCAGCCAGGATGTGTGGTCCTGCTATGCCAGTCGTGCAAGCTCTTTGGCTAGGTAAGGAACCAAGGATCAGCTGTGTCTGTGGTTCCTCTCTGTGTAAATTTGCTCCCAATTAGCCCCATTTTATCATTGCTATATACCAAGGTTGCCAAAAAGATGTATATACATTTTAAGGGATGTTAAGAGATGTTTGCCATAATCAGAAGTGTCTGGATGCTGATGGTAACCCTCTGAGCACCTCTTGTAATTGTAGAAGTCAAATGTGACTTGTCTCCATCTTAGCGAGTATTACAATTTTAATGCTGTTTTTTCCCTTCTTAAAATGTGAGCCAGGCTTGGTGGCTCAGCCTGTAATCCCGCGCCTTTGGGAGGCTGAGGTGAGTGGATTGCCTGAGCCCGCGGGCTCGAGACCCGCCTGGGCAGCGAGACCTCATCTCTACAATAAATCAAAAAATCAGCCGGGCGTGGTAGCGCATGCCTGTAAATTCTGGCTACTGGGAAGGCTGAGACGGAAGGATCGCCGGAGCCCAGCAGGTCGAGGCTGTGGTGGCCAGGAGCGGCCACTGCACTCCAGTCTGGGCGACAGAGTGAGACTCCAACTCAAAAAAAAAAAAAAAAATGTGTATACATTTTTTTTGGAACTGTGTGTGTGTATGTATAGTAACTATATATATAGCAGTTATATATACACATATATATATAGCAAATAGAAGTAGAGATCTATAATATGTATAGATATAAATATATCAAATTTAAATATTAGAAATAATTTGTAATTTAGTATTTTAAGTGTTAGCCATGTAGCAGAAAATTTGAAACTTTAAGAGTACTTCACAAATTAACCTTATAGGACTAATACAAAATATATGTTTAAGCAATAACCTAGAGTTTGGTTTTTTTTTTTTTAAGTTGGAGTCTCACTCTGTCACCCAGATTGGAAGTGCAGTGGCACGCTCACGGCCACTGCAGCCTCAGCCTGCTGGGCTTAGGCGATCATTCCACCTCAACCTTCCAAGTAGCTGTAACTACAGGCGTGCACCACCACACCCAGCTTATTTTTTGTTGATTAATTGTAGAGATGAGGTCTCATCAA